AAAAAAAAAAAAAAAAAAAAACTAATTTTAAAGAACTAAAAGAACACAAGAAGTATTTAGCCAAGTAGCCAACAATAACACTAGATGAAGAAATTACAGAATACAGATAGACTTAACAAGCAAGGCCCCAAATTTAAGAGGAACTACATAATTATTTTTCTCTTTTCGTATCTTTGATTCTCTTTGTAGACTAAAGAAATCTGCTAAACCCTATCAAGTGAAATTGGATGCATATCAAAAAAGAAAAGAAGAAATGAGTGATAGATCAGAAGGAGAATGGACTTGAGAGAGACTCGTCAAGTTCTTTGAAACCTGCGTATACATTCTCCGTCTTGTTCGGTGGCCGAGCCAGTCTCCTAACCTCTGTCATATACCTGTTCGTAAGACAAAATATCTTTGTGTTTTCAGAGATTCTTGATTTTAAATTATACTTCAAAATTAGGAGTGGGCAAGAAAACCAAACCGAATCGAACCAAAATGACAGAGACAAACTTGCTTGTTTCCAGCGTTTGCAATCTTATCACGGGCCCCTTGGTTAAGAGCAGCTTTGTTTTCTAGCACAAACGACCCGCCTAGTATCAGAGAAGACCTGGTTGGACTCGAGCCCATTCTATCTGACAATACAGACATTGCCCATTCACGGAGCACCACTATAACAGAATGAATGAGGAGGATTCTTGGATTTGGGGGTGGCACAACGGCTGCATTGGATAATAAACGGTCATACGAGTTGAGCACAGGTTCAGCTGCGCCTTTGCAAGCCGCTAGAAGAGCTTTAGCTATGACTTCATCTCTAACATTTTCAGTCCTCTCTGATCTCTCCTGTAAAATTTTCCGCAAGATGCACTCAAATTCAGTTCATAGCCCAATGAAATGAATCAACAACTTAACGAGAAGGAGGAGCTTACACGTGCAGCTTTCTCGAGGTGAAGGCACAAAACATCAAGCGGTAAAACAACTCCATCGCCAAGGTATATATGAGATCCGACTCTCTTAAGAACTGCACAGGTTTCAGCTACCCCACCTTGTGAGAGAGCTTGGTCAAAGAGTCTAGCCCATGTTTCCCTTATTATGCTTGAATCAGCATCACCAGAATAGTTGGCAAAGTAGAGCATTTCCAGACAGATCTGCATAGAGTGAAGCAAACAAGTAATGTAAAGCCTACATAGAGAGTCGACGATACTAGCACTGAATCTTTCTAATTCAACAGTTTGATCTTATGATTTCCCAATTTTAAAACTAGGATACTGGTGCAACAATTCTCAGCATGACCTAAAACAGTCATTATCGACTTTAAGGTAGGTTTAGTAGGAATAGAACCTACGACTTTACAGAATATCAGCTAGGTTACAAATAGAGAGGAATAGTGGCTCTCCTTTATTCTATGGCTACTTCTAGAAAACCAGTTAACAAGCCTCAGCTGCTTTATCGGCAACAATGTTACTAATTAAATCTTCAAAATTTATTATCCGGGCAGCCAACATCACATGGCAGCTGCTTCGCCTGCTCCAAAGCGGGTGAAAAAATCTTCTAGAAGGGACCTTGGAGAGTTGGATTCCAGAAGTCTTCTCAAGATATCAACAGGCCTATTAAAAACCAGTTCCATCATACCCATGGTGGTAAAACAAACAATCTTTCTCCTTGGCAAAATATGCTGGGTCGAAAGATCACCTCTGGCCCAGAGTTTTCCACATGCCTTTTCATAAGATTCTCCAGAGACTTCGATTCCACAGTATTCTAGTTCTGAATATAATGATTGGACAGTAGCAGCAGTATCAGGAGAGGGGAGCACATCTGCAACAAAAAGCATACGTCCTTCAATAGGAATGGAGGACAAAACTTCTCGTAAAGCCCGAGAACTCCTTGAACTTGGCCCTGAACTGCTGCCAACCTGAGAGTGCACACTTGAATCTCTGCTAACAACAAGAAAAGAAGACATAGCAGGTGGCGATGAATCTGAAAGGACAAGAGTTCCAACAGAATAGTGTGCTGTTTCAACTTTCATAGAGAGGTCTTCATTCTGAGTTCTACCGGCTATAGATGGGGCCCCAAAACCAAGTCCAACACCTACACCCAATGGAGGAGATGGCCTAGTTGAAACCACTTTCAGACAGTTTGGAGTCTGGCGGTGGTTGTTGAACCCACTGAAGCTAATAGTACTACCACTTCCACTTGAGGAAGTGGAAAGACATCCTCCTGCCATCTGATAATGCTGCAACAAGGTGCAACCATTTCGATTCTAGCATGGACAATGGTGAAATGCTGACTATGGATGGCTTGTTAGATCGACCTGCCACTGCTGACTGACGATTTCCTTGGCTCACATCCTTCTGATTTAATAGATTCCTTTCTTCTGCCACCTTCTTAAGAGCCTTCCCCATTTGGCCCAAAAACATATGCTTGAAGTTTCATCTCTTCAGTGCGGGCATATAAAATTTGCCTTTCATTATCAACAACCATCTCTACAACAGGATCTACAGCTCCAAACTTGAATACATTTGGCACAACCAACCTAAAACCAACAGAATTGGGGATAAGTGTTTTTAAAACTATCAGAAAGAATATGCTATTGCGGAATTCTTTCGAGCATAAGGAGCTAGAGATATAATAAGGAATGCTGGAAGCTTGGTTTATCTCAGATTCCAGAATCAAAAAGCAGAGAGAACAGATAAAAGAAAAGGACATAGAGAATGTGTGTACCTCGAGATCATACTACCTACGCCTGCAGTAAGGCACACTTTACGACAACGTTTATTCCAGCCTGAGCCAGTTGTATATAGCAGCTCATAAATGTGACCATCACGTCCAGCCATGAAAATGCGTCCTTTATTGGTACATGTAACGCATGTCATTGTCACTCCATCTGATGATATTGTATAGTCAGGCAGAGATTGTACTGAAATTTCAGCATAAGGATCTCTACCATAAGGTCCTTCAGTGCAGCACACTCCAACAAGAACCAACTGATGAGAAGTAAAGTTTTCTAAGAAAATCACATACAGTACACAAAACTAAAGAAAGTTGTGATCAGATTGCATCATTGAAAAGAGTCACCTCAACAGGAGTTGCCAACACCAAAAGATATTGAATAGCTTCAACAAAAACTCCAGGTCTACATTTCGCTAGACCAACCGCACAAATTGCATGTTCCTCCCCACTATACTCAGGACACATTGCCCATCCCTAATTGACATACATTTATCAAAACAAAGGACAACTACGAACGAAAGTAAGGCAATCTCAAGCTTCTATATTCCCCTGTAACTAAAAGGAAAAGCCAAATTTACCTTTTGTCAAAACGCGACAGAAACAAAGAAGACGGATGCCCAAGCCCGTGGAATCTCCGGAAAAATCCCACATGATGCCGTCCCTTCCCCGCCGGCTATATTATAGCTCTCAATAAGTACAGAAGGCAATTCCCAAGTCTCACCAACCTCACTCAACGGCGGCGAGAGGGCTTCTCGGCAAAAACTATTTTGCCTTTCCTTTCCGGCTAACCAAGTCGGGTCGAACTTTGTTGTTACCTTGTTCGGGTCGGGTCAATCCGTTTCAAATTATACATTAGTAGTTTTCTTCTTTTTTTTAATCAAATAAATATCTCTTCAAATTGTTTTTTTTATCAAGGCCAGGTTTTAATCGTAACAAATTGGGACTGACCCAAAAAATTTGGGAATTCTTAAGGGGAGTTATTTGAAACGATATTATTTTTAAGATTATAATAAATTATATCTATTGTTTCTTACTAATTGGCACACTAGATTATTATCAGAACTAATTAAGATCATAATGATGCAAAATTAAGGTCCACTATATATGTCCAGAAATAATACACCAAACCAAACACATCAATATAGCAGTTATGCATTTCAGAAATTAATTTGTCTATAATACATGTGATGAAAGAAAAAGGGTGTTTACCTACCTTATACCGTTTTATCATCAAATCCTCTTATGCTCGGAAACCAGACTGCCAATAGATGTATTCTGGTCCGATATGTATATGTTGGCGAAAGCGATCTTGATGCAATGCATGCGAGAAACTATTAAGGCTAAACTTGATCCCCAAGTTGTGTAATTATCTTTTAGTTAGTTTTCCTTTTATTAGCTAAACTCTTCTTGTATAAATAGAGACCTTATGGTTATGTTAATAAGACAGAAACAATTCACATATCTATTTGTCATGGTATCAGAGACATCGATCTAAAAACCCTAATTTTTTTATCTCTCTCGAAGAACGCCTCTCAGCCTCTTCAACGTTACTCTCTATTCTTCAAACACATCAAAGCTTCTCGGCACCAGTCTTCTTCCTTATTCACATCAAAGCCTTTCGGCACAGATTCCTCTTCTTTCTCTCTGTTTTTCAAACCATAAAACAGAGCATCTCTCTTTTCAAGCCTCTCGGCAACTCTCTTGTTAATCTCACTTGAATACGATGGCGTTAGCAACTACGGACTCTCAATACAAGAAAATCTCTCCTTATGATCTGACTTCCAATGATAATCCGGGTGCTGTTATCTCTCAACCATTACTCAATGGTTTGAATTATGATGAATGGGCTCTTAACATCCGAATTGCTCTTAGCTCTCGCAAGAAATTCGGATTCCTTGATGGAAGCATAGCTAGACCGGCAGATGGAGCAAACAACCTTGAATATTGGATCGCTAATAATCATCTCATCGTCGGCTGGATTAAACTTACAATTGAACCAAAGATTCGTTCATCCATCTCCACTCGCGAGGTAGCTCGTGAACTCTGGGAATTAATCAAGAAAAGATTCTCTGTGAAAAGTGGTGCACGTCTGCAACAGCTCCGCAACGCCTTAGCTACCTGCAAACAGAATGGCTCCTCTATTGATGACTACTTCGGCCGTTTGACACGATTATGGGATGGAATTGCAGAGTCTACCAATTCGAAGCGATGTAGCTGCGGTAAGTGCACGTGTGATCTCAACACTGCACGAGACAAAGAGCTTGATGTTTTGAAAGTTCTTTGGAGCTGTTCATGGAACTGTTCGATCTCAAATATGCGCAATTGCTCCTCTACCTGATCTTGACACAGTTTACCAAACAATTGTTCAAAACGAAACAATTCATTCTGGAATATCCAAAGATGCTGAGCTAATGAGTTTTGCTACTCAAGTTTCAAGATCCACTAGCTCTCCACTGATCCGAGATACGTCTAAAATCGCCGCTTCTTCATCCAATTCATTCAATCCTCGCTTCGGACCTGGAAACCGTGACCCCTCACGATATTGCACTAGTTGTGGACGCACGGGCCATGAAGTATCAGCGTGTTTTCAAGTTGTTGGCTATCCCGATTGGTGGGAAGATCGTCCTCGCTCTAAGCCAGATTCACGAAGCTTTGGACGTGGACGTGGACGAAATTCTCAACCACGAGCTAACAACACTGAAATTGTCTCCGCTAATGTTGTCACTACCACTCCTAATAAGCCACTGACAGATGCGGATCGTCAAGGCTTTCATGGCTTCACCGATGAACAATGGAGCACTATTCAACGTGTTTATGGGACAGGCAACTCCAATGATCGTCTAAGTGGTAAGAACAATGGTCTTATATGAATTTTGGATACAGGCGCTACACATCACATGACGGGACGTGCAGATTTATTTCAAGATCTTCGCACTATCTCTCCTGTATCCGTTAGACTGCCTGCCGGAGAAAACGTTTTGTCTTCTCAACAGGGGACAATTCATCTTACATCACGTTTATGTTTGAAAAACGTTTATCTTATTCCTGGATTCAATGCAAACTTGATATCTCTTGGACAGTTGCTTACTGATAGTTTTCTCGTCGGCCAAATGACTGATAGATTGTTGGTTTTACAGGACCGAATTACCAGGACGCTGATTGGAATAGGTGGACGTGAGGGAGAAGGACTGTACCGGTTCCGCGAGATTGAGATTGTGGCATCTAATCAGACAAGTATTCATAAGGACGTCTCTTTGTGGCATTTGCGTTTGGGTCATCCTTCATCTCGGGTTCTCGATAAGATTCCTGGTGTTAAAGATTTATCTACTATTAGTTCTGAAGTTTTAGATAAAAGTTGTGAAATTTGCTTCCAAGCCAAACAGACTCGTCAATGTTTTCCAGATTCTTTGAATAACGCAAAAGAGATTTTTGATTTAAATCATTGTGACTTATGGGGACCGTACCGTTCTCCTGCATTTTGTGGCTCTTGTTATTTCTTGACCATAGTGGATGATTGCTCTCGAGCAGTGTGGTTATATTTGCTCCCTAACAAGTCTTCTGTTGCGTTTAATCTTCAGAATTTCTTGGCAATGATTGAACGGCAATTCTCCAAGAAAGTAAAAGTTATACGAAGTGACAATGGAACGGAGTTTCTTTGTATGACTCGATTTTTTCAAGAAAAAGGAATTGTTCATCAAACATCGTGCGTTTACACACCACAACAAAACGGTCGTGTCGAACGTAAGCATCGTCATATTCTAGAAGTTGCTCGAGCCTTGCGTTTTCAATCAAACCTTCCAATTGAATTTTGGGGTGAATGTGTCCTTAGTGCAGCATACTTGATTAATCGTACTCCCACACAAGTTCTTCATGGTAAAACTCCGTTTGAGATACTCTATGGTCATGTTCCCTCTTATAAACAGTTGCGTGTCTTTGGTTGTTTGGCTCCTGCCCATAATCTTGATCATCAAGGTGATAAGTTCAAATCTCGGAGTCGTCGATGCGTGTTTGTTGGCTATCCCTACGGCAAACAAGGTTGGCGTCTCCATGATTTAGATCGTAAAATTTTCTTTGTTTCTCGCGACGTGATTTTCAAAGAAGATAATTTCCCATATCTTGAAACACCAATCACTCCGGTTCCTCCTATATCACCTCCGACTTCGGTTACTCTTCACGATGAAGCTATACATCCAGAGTCTCTTACGCCAGCGCCTCCAACAGTAGCTTCGACATCTCATAATGACACTTTGAGTTCGTCGGATCTGGTTAATGAGGTTCCAAAGTTACGTCGTAGTCAACGTACGACGGCTCTTCCTGTTCGTCTTAACGATTACGTTGTTGAAACAATCTCAAAATCTCGTCCTTCTTCTCCCTCCGACTCACCTACTCCTCAGCTATCCTCAGGTACTGATCATCCTCTCTCTAATTATGTTGCTTGCGATCAGTTCTCTTCTGCATATTGCAGCTACCTCGTTGCTCTCACCACCCCTGTTGAGCCTCGATCATTTAAAGAAGCAATGACTTATGAGGAATGGAAGGCGGCTATGGGCAGCGAAGTAACATCGTTGGAAGATAACCATACATGGGATCTTGTTGATCTTCCACCCAACCGGAAACTCATTGGCAGTCATTGGGTCTTCCGCATCAAGCTTAAATCTGATGGATCTCTAGAACGTTACAAAGCTCGGTTAGTGGCACTTGGCAATCATCAAGAAGAAGGCCTTGATTATAAGGAGACTTTTGCCCCTGTAGTAAAGATGACAACGGTTCGTTTAATATTGGATATTGCAGCTAAGAAACATTATGAAATTCATCAAATGGATGTTCATAATGCTTTCTTACACGGTGACCTTGACGAAGAAATTTATATGAGACCCCCACCTGGCTTTACTATACCGGGTGACAAGCGTGTCTGTCGTCTTCGTAAGTCAATTTATGGACTTAAACAATCTCCTCGGTGTTGGTTTGCAAAATTGGCGGATGCTCTTTTGAATTATGGATTCAAGCAAACTCGATCAGATTATTCTCTCTGTTGAGTCTTTCACCAAGTGTTTCTGATCTTGTGATAAAGCTCTAACCTTTATGTTTGTTTGCTGTAGTTTGTTATGCAAGAAAGAAACAAGACACGAGATTTACGAGTTCCCAAGACCAAATCAGTCAAGGTACGTCTCGGAGAGCATCAACCAGCTCTCAAGGCACTCTTATCTTCTACCGAACAGTACAAGCTCTCTATGTCACACCACTCTCACCCTTTACAGAAAGAAACCCACACCAAAGAGTTACACACAAGAAGACACTCAAGAATAAAACCCTCAAACCCTTGTTTCTCACAAGTCTCTCTCTAGACTTTCTCTCTCAATAATGACTGAATGGCTTATCCTCCAAGCTTGATGACACTGTCCTTTTATAAGCTAAGCCTTCGCCGTTCTTGCAGGTGCTACCCGACAACACTGTACGACCAGTGACCATCAAAGCACCAAAACGCTCTCACATCTGCCGTTTCTTGTTCCTGGGCTTAAGTTGCTTAGCAGACTCCGACTGGGCCTTGACCGGCCCATTCATTTCAACTCAGCCCACCTGTCTAAAGACAATCACCTGAAACGACAATCTCCATCTTGATTGCTTTAGACAGAACAACCGGAGAATTTACCTCCTCCAGTCAGATTCTCCGACATCCCTGTGCCGGAGCTTTAGCTCCTTCGAGCTAATGGTGGTGCCTAAGCACCTTCAAGTTACTCAACCCATCTTCAAATTTCTTCACCGGAACTGATTTAGTGAGTATATCAGCCGGATTTTCTTTTGTGTTTATCTTCGAGACCTTTAGAGTACCTTCCTCGATTTCATCTCTGATGAAGTGAAACCGAGTGTCGATGTGCTTGGTCCGTTCGTGGTGAACGTTGTTCTTCGCTAAGCAGATAGCGCTTTGAGAGTCAGAGAAGATTTCAGCTTCATCTTGTGGGAATCCAAGCTCATCGGTGATTCTCATCAACCACAGTGCTTCTTTCGCAGCTTCAGCCAGTGCCATATATTCTGCTTCTGTCGTAGACAAAGCAACAACTTGTTGAAGACCAGATCTCCAACTAACTGTGTTCTCTCCCACTTGGAACACATATCCGGTAATTGATCTTCTCCTGTCTAGATCCGCTGCGTGATCACTGTCACAATAGCCTCTTACCTTGAATTCTTTTGACTTTGTGAAAGTAAGCTTGAGATCAGCTGAATTTCTGATGTATCTCAGTACCCATTTCACTGCAGACCAATGTTCTTTTCCCGGACAACTCATGAATCGACTTATCAGGCCTACTGCGTATGCGATGTCTGGTCGTGTCCCAACCATGGAGTACATCAAGCTCCCAACAGCACTCGCATACGGTATGTCTTGCATTTCAGCTTCACATTCAGCTTTGTCATCTGGTCTCGTGCTGTATAGTTTGAAGTGAGATCCCATTGGAGTCTGCACTGGTCTGCTATCTAGCATGTTAAAGTTCCTTAACACCTTTTCCAGATACTCTTGTTGAGATAGCTGTAGAATGCCTTTAGTTCTGTCCCTGGTGATGTCAATTCCCAAAATTCTCCTTGCCTTACCCATGTCTTTCATCTCAAACTCCTCACTCAAAACTTTCTTTAACCTTACCATCTCCTCCATTTCCTTGGCAGCAACCAACATATCATCTACATATAACAGTAAGTAGACGTAGTTTCCTTCACTTAGACATTTGAAATACACACAGGGATCAAATTTGCTCCTGGTGTATTTCTGAGATTTCATGAACTGGTTGAATCTCAGGTTCCATTGTCTTGGTGCCTGTTTCAGACCATATAGAGATTTTTTCAGCAAGCATACCTGGTCTCCTTTGCCAAAACCCTCTGGTTGTTCCATGTAGATTTCTTCTTCTAGATTCCCATGTAGAAAAGCTGTCTTAACATCCAACTGTTCTAGCTCTAGGTCTTGATAGACCACCATAGATAGCATCAGTCTTATGGTAATGTGTTTCACCACTGGTGCAAACACCTCATGATAGTCAATCCCTTATATTTGAGAAAAACCCTTTGCAACCAGTCTAGCCTTGAATCTTGGATTTTCAACATCTGGTATACCATGCTTTATCTTGAATATCCACTTGCATCCAATGACCTTTCTGTGTTTTGGTCTTTCTACCAGATCCCAGGTATGATTCTTGTTCAATGACTCCATCTCATCACCTGCTGCTGACTTCCATTTATCTCCATCTCTGCAGTTCATTGCTTCTTGAAAGTTTTGGGGCTCTTCCAGATCAATGACATGTGACATTGTTAGAGCATACTCAGCCATATTTCCATGGTCATACCTGCTAGGCGGTTTGATGTTTGACCTTCGACTTCTGTCCCTTGCTAGCAGGTAGTTATCCAACTCATGTGGAGAGTCATCATCAGAAATTGCCCCTTCATCAACCGTTTCAGGCTCATTCTCAGCTCCATCTTCAGTCTCCACTGATGGGCTATGATTTTGATGAGAGGTTTCTCCTGGACTGTCCAATGTAGCTCCATCTGCAGTGTTACCAGGTAACTCAAAGGTTACTTTCTTCCTTTCCATCTTTGATACTTCTTTCTCTGTATCTGACATCTTTCCTATGTCCTTGTACAAAATATCTTCTCTGAACGTCACATCTCGACTTACTATGCACTTCTTGTCTTCAATACTCCAAATTCTGTATCCTTTTACTCCTTGTGGATATCCCATAAACACTCCCCTCTTAGCTCTTGGTTTTAACTTACCCTGCTTAACATGATAGTATGCTAAGCACCCAAATCTTTTCATGTGGCTGTAATCAGGTTCTCTTCCTGCATAGACTTGTTCAGGTATTTGAAATCCCAAAGGAGCAGATGGAGTTCTATTCAGGATGTAGACAATAGTAGATGAAGCTTCAGCCCAAAATGATTCACCTAGACCAGTTTCACTCAGCAAGCTTCTTACCTTCTCAAGAATGGTCCTGTTCAGCCTTTCTGCCACGCCATTTTGCTGGGGAGTATAAGGACATGTTTTGTGTCTTATAATCCCTCTTTCTTTGCAGTAGTCATCAAAGGTTTTGTTGCAGTATTCCAAGCCATTGTCGGTCCTTAGAACTTTCAGTCTTTTACCACTCTGATTTTCAACTAATGCCAGCCACTCAACAAATTTCGTGTAGGCTTCATCTTTGGTCTTCAGGAAATAAATCCACACCTTTCTTGAGAAGTCATCTACAAAGGAGATGTAGTATTGACACTTACTCAGACTAAGAGTAACATTTGGAGATCCCCAAAGATCTGAATGAACATACTCTAGAATTTCCTTTGAGGTATGTTTTCCTGTCTTGTAGGGAGTCTTGTGAGATTTTCCAAGAATGCAGTACTCACAATGTTTCATTTCTGACAGGTCTCTTTCATTGAGTAACTTCTTCTGAACCATTATTTTCAGGTTCT